GCCCAAAAACTTGTAGGTGGATATAAACTTTTATTGCGACCCAGTAATGAGAAATGCGTGGGAATTTATCTTCCTATATCGCCGCTGCCAACTTCACACTTTCATACGTCAAAGCTTCACGAATGGGCTTTTCAGACGTGAGATTTTTCTGCGATAAACGCTTTAACAAATGATATAGACGCTTGCTTCATGTGGCAATTGCTCTTGAAGAAAAAGCCCAGGTAGAATCCTAAATTGTTGATTCACGCAATCTCTAAAAATTAAACTTCATAAAGCTTTGAGAACCAATCGATAGCAGTCAAAGTTCTTATTGGATTTTTATTAGGATAATACTTGCCGAACTTTGAAAGTAAAAATTGCGTTATTACCCTAATTTAGTGATTATTCAAACTTTTAAAGAAGGTGTACACCTTTTACAACTCTACTTTGCTTAGACTTTTCAATGTTATTTCATATTTTCACATCCAAATTGAATGCAAACAAGCCATTAATCTTGAATAACTTTCTCATTGTGAGGCACTCGACTTGGAGGAGGCCTAACTGATGCATAAAGACACCAATTTGTGAGTTGTCCTCTGAGGTTTTTTTTTTATTTCAATAAGAGCTGCTCTCGAAGGGGTCAATATGGGAAAATTCAGACATTTGGTTGCACGCAATTCTTACCTAATTTTACGCTGTCGCCCCGACAAAGAGGCCTCGCATTAGCCACGCATCTGTGTGTTCCACAAAATCGGGTTCACCGTCGACAGGGCAGAGGCCAAGAGTGTCTTGCGAGAGGAATTGATTGGAAAAAAGGACGCGCATATGCTCCATCCGGTTCGGATATTCCTGCGGTGATGCAGAAGAGGAGTGAAGAAGGGCAAAATACAGTTGTATAAATAATAAAATTCAATGTGGGGGTAGTTTTATTGCTCCATCACGAAAGTGTGATAGTTTATCAGCCCCCTTCGTCACTCGGTAAACGGCCTTAATTAATACTTTATCGCTCGACAAAAGGAGAGTTTAGTGAATGTGAAAGGGAATCTCAATGGGATATTCTTGCGCTATTCACCAGAGAAATTACAACAATTTTTCCGCGTATTGAGAGATTCTCAGCGCAAAAATGCCACCCTCGTCTCAAGCTGGATGAACAAAGGATTGAGTGCAGTAAAAATTCGATTAAACCACAACCGCGTGTTTTGTGTGTGTTTTCAATGGAGTGTGTTTGTTGCAAAAATGAGGGGGAGAAAAAGAGCGATTTAACAGCGACTTTTCATTTAACGATTGCTCTTTTTTTCCATACTCTCCCTCTTCACCTCCTCCTTGAGCTCCTGCACGAGAGTCAGCGAGGACTCGCTGAAAATTCAGAGCCCACAGATATTCTATCATGCTGCCTTTGCCATGGCAAGAATAGGAACGCCCAGACAAACGACGTTGAGTTTGCGAACACAGAGATTCACAGAGTTTACAACGGAAAGCTTCACGACGAAAGATCAAGGAAATGACTGTCGAGAGTCTGTGAAACATACTAGAATAGAAGGAAGTTCTAAGTTGTTTTTGAAGTTTTCAGAATAACGATGCAAGTATTTCAAGAACCCCAGCGAACACAGCATGTTTTTAAGCTGATTCACTGCTGAGTCAAAGTGCTCATAATCGAGCACTCAGACGATTTGTGAATTTATCGCCTTCTGAGAGCACAATTTGATCATTTTTTCATAGATTCTGGCCACTTCCTGCTGAGCTTTGTGCAGATAAAAGCACTTTTCTTAGCATATTCAATGGGAATCCCCCAAATTCCGTCTCACAGACCTTTGGGTAACATAAAAAAAAACTTTTACTATTCGCCTCTACGATCGTGAATAATTCTTTAACATTGACCTGAAAAAAAACGCTTTTGCGAGCAGATATCGAGCACGATAAAATTCTCAGCTAAGTGAGTTCGCTGGGACAGAAATTTTAGTAAAGAACTTCTGATGTTCAAAAGAATCCTCTTATTTTGTAAAAAAAAAACTTCTAAAAACATCCGAAGATCCATAAAAAATTTCTAAAATTTCCCATCAATTGAATGCCAGTAGCTGTTTTGCGCTGAAAACACAGAGTGTTGGCGGCAAGAATGCCGTTATGAGTGCCTAAAGGGGTGGAATGACGTGAAAAAACATCGAGAACCACTTTGAGGCTCTCCTCATCATCCCACCCAATTCGCCCGTTCTCTCTGTGGTCGCGATAATGAGAGAATTATTGCAGAAATCATTCACAATGACAGACGGAGAATCAATTGAAATCATAATTCTGATTTGAGCGCTCTCGCATGAGCATCGATTCCATCCCCATCCGAAGGGGTGAAGCGAGTGACGGAGAGGGTGGCTTGAGGGCGCATCCCGTTGTTATCATTGGTTAAATCTCCTCGCTGGCAGTCTGGCTGCGTAAGCAAAACGAATGAAATGCCACAAGGGAAGAGTCACTGGGATGCATCATCGTATCATTTTTCTGCCTGGAAATTCCATTTGGAGAGAGAGAAAGATAGACGAAGACTCCGCCTACACTGGGGAGCAGCGGACTGGATGGGAGAGAAGGCCCAGGGAAGATGAGACGAGCGCAAGGTATCATGATATTTGGCGAAGAATCAATTCCGATGGCTCCACGCGAGTCATCTCTTTCTCGCCGCCCGACACCCACACTGTCGCAGGCGGGAGATCAGCGCTCCACAAGCTCCGAAGCCCGCCACGCTGCTGAGACGCTCGCCGAGGAGTCGCGATGATGGGAAATGCAAATGACTGGGCTTAGCAGCTGGCAAAGAGACCCTATCACTTCCTTTTGTCCTCCGCGCCACCGAGCTGCGGAGACATTCGCGCTGTGGCTGCGGAAAAGCGGAGGAAAGTGAGGTGCTCGCCACCCAATTCCACCCACAATTGAGCGACCATGATATCAAAGTGAGAAACAGTGATAAAACCACAGGCAGGCGTGGTCTAATATTGACGCATGCGTTTGAAAGAGTCACACAGAAAATATCACATAAAGTCTTCTTCATTCTTTTCTTTCCATTCGCTTCTCCCATCTGTCTTGCTTCTCTCTTTGACGTGTGTTGTGCATTTGTACAGAAGCTCCTCTGTCAACCCGCACACACACACTTCCTCCCATCTTCGCTCATCCGCAGTCCTTAACTAATCCCTTTTCCAGCGCTCCGCGCAATCTTCCGCACTCTAATGATCGGCTCTAGATTTTTCTTTCTCCTAAATACCTCTTAAACTTAAAGATCTACGAAACACAGCTCTTAACCCAATTGATTGACCTACAAAGTGTATTGGAAGGAAAACACCTCCAGAATACGATCGAAAATGGAGCACAGCGCGCTCCTGTGAAATGCTTGAAATTTCCCACTCGAAACCTTGACATCGAAATTCCCATTCGATGAGGTCAATAAATCATTCAACACCCAATTCATGGGTAAAATTTTCGCACAACTTTTCCCGGCACAATTGCGTGTGGGTGGAAGTTTTCTTGGCTGTTTGACTACAACATCCCGCCGGACTTCTAATTTCACTCCCAAGCAAGACATCTCGGAGAAAAGGCAAACTTTCTCGACTCTTTCTGCGAGATGTGAGACACAATTTTCATAGCTCATATGCTTTGGGTCACGTTCCAGTTTTTTTTCCACACAATCACATGTATTTATCCATTTCAAATAACATATTATTAGAAATGTGTGTAATTGTGATATTTCCTGCGTTTTTTTTTTTGGGAAAAGCCAGTGATCAGAGATTTTCAATACTCTAGAAACGACCTCTAAAGCCCTCCTAAGTTAGCAGGATAATTTAACACTTGAATGGTCCAGACATAAATAACTCACGATTGGTTCTGGTCACTCTGACCAGTATTTCTTGCAACTTTACTGAGGCTCTAAACATCATAACTATGCTGTGCAAGTGAATTTTGGCTCTTAAATTATATTTTCTTGCACGGAAAATGCAATATTTATGATTTTCATTTATATTTTAAGGACATTCTATTGGTTAATGTGTATTTTCCTTATGATTTTGACCAGATTATCCAGAATTTCTAACCATATTTATTTTTGTTGGTGCTTTTTGCCCTTGTCTTTGCCAAGGAGGAGATAATCGCATTCTTGATTGAATTTCATTAGTATTTTTTAGCTTAGCTTCATTTTCCACTAGCTTTAAAGTTACCGACAATTAATTTTAATCCAGTTTTAGCACATTTATAGGGGTGAAATACCTAAAATTAACAATATAAGGATTATTTAGTCCATATTGTTTCATATAAGTCCTATTTTTCCTCTAAAACCTTGTGAAAAAAGGAATTTCATGCATTTTATATCGATAAGTGTTGGTAAGTTCACTAACTTACCAACAACACCCTTAGAGCGAATACAGACTTAAGGATAATCTCGAGGTTTTTCGTTTTTTACACATACTTTAAGAAACAAACCACGAGATCATTCTTAAGTCTATCTTTGCTTTTAGAATTAGAGATGTCAAATAATATAAAGTTCGGTTATGCTTAACTTTAGCTCGGTTTTTCACCACTCAGCTTTCAGAATCTCCATTTTCATTGAGCTCAAATGCGCAATTATATTATTAAAAAGAAATTATTTCAATTTATATGAAAGATTTTCTACTTTAAGACGTCATTTGGTCATTAAAAAGTCACACAACGTAGAAGAATATATCAAAATAAAGACCTGGATAAGAATAAAGACCCAAGAGAAACTAATCAATAGAAACACTTCGTCGTCAATTCGCGGCACTCTCAAGTCTGAAAGCGCGGCTTGGCGTAAGTGCAGGGTTTTCGCAGGCGAGTTGATGGGTGATTTATCAGTTACCACGGCGAGTGCAACATGTCCGTGGGGATGGGTTTGTTTGGCAAGTTTAGAGACTGACGAGGCGAAGAGTGTCCACTTGCGCGCTTTGTAACGCGCGCGATTCCAGTGTGGGTGCACTTGCGGTCGGGAAATCCGCGTCGTGACACACACTGAGGAGCTGAGCGTCCAGTTGACTGTGACTCGTGGCAAAGTGTGTATACAGACGTGCTCTCTCTCCCCCTTGGGCGCTCATCCGCGAGGACTCCGCGGCGACACTCTTCCTCGGCCGCGCCGGCATAGTGGGGACAATTTATATCAATTTTTTCTCCGCCACCCCTTCTCGCCATCGCGTTTTTATTATTATTGCCCATGTTGTAAAAAAGAAAACATGGCATAGTGGCAAAAAGGGAGGAAAGCCGTGTGAGTGAGAGAGTGGAAAAGACGGTGGAAAAAGACCCCAAAGGAGAAAATAAGCTTTTCGGTGAGAGAGTCTCACTGACTAATACCACAACCAAATAATTCCATATCACATCACCGTGTGCGCTTTTATCCCACAGAAAGGTGGGAGACGACGTCCAAAGTGGTTTGAAAGAACTCGTCGGTTCGCGAGGAATCCGTGCGTGTGCTTTTCTTTCCCGCATTGCAAATCTGCAACAGGGCGTTTCATCCATTGTCTCAGGATCTGCTGAGGTTCTTGCGCACAATTGTCGGGGAAAATGACGCAAATTGCCTGAAGTGATATCGGGAATCGGCACAGCTTTTCAAGCCTCAATGCAGGGCTTCCATCCGGAGGACTATATGTGAAGTGCAATGCTGCCATGACTGATTTCGCGGCCCTCCAGGAAGTCGGCCAACTTCCCTCCGTCCACAATCCCTGACCAGATTAACTTCAAGCCGACAATCTTGGAAGATGCAAAATTGAAAGTGTTGCAATAATAGGTGAAGAACTGAAGAGTGTCGATCACTTGCTGTGATAAAATGCGATCAAAATCCATCGCTCGAAGATTCACTCAAGGTGAGTTTGTCCCGATTTTCAGAGCCGAAGAAAAAAGCCAGTGTCTTTCCTGTTCCGAAGCCGACGGTGTATTCAGTTTCCTTCGCATCCTGTCCTTTATTGTGCGCCGTGTCATCATTGTGTTCTAAGGACACGAGTACACGTAATCTAAAATCCTTGATTCACCTTCTTTGCCCCGCTCTTCCTCCCTCTTCAGGAGATTGTCTTCGAATTTCTCATATTGTCTCTCTTCCCATTGTCTGAACCCACGAGATGTGGAAGGAAGGCGCAATAAAAAGTGTGCATTCTGAGATGAGGCAAGATGCGGTATTTCTGGGAAGATAAGATATTTCATTTCCTCTCTCGAGGGACCCCGAAAACAAGTGAATATGCCATTGATAATATTTGATTGTGCCTCCTTTTTGCTGCTCATGCATGAGCTGCGTGAGTTTCTCTGGTTGTTCGTCACCTTTTCTGTGCCGTTTATGTCGATTCAGCACCACAAGATGTAATTTTCATCGACCGAAATTGGAAGTTATGGTTTGATTAGAGTTTTTAACCTTTTTCCTTTCGGTTGTTTCAATAAGACAATTAATAGATTTTCATAGAAATTCAATTTTAATTGAATTCAATGTTGAAAGACAGTTTTGTTGATTTTGATTAAAGTCAATCTGTTTTTTTTTCTTCCACAAAAGTTGCAGATTAGTTTTCCTATAAGACTCCTGAACAAAGTAATTTCATTTAATTTCCACTACGCATTTCTGAGAGTCAAGTTGCACGCTCAATTGCAAGCAACTTGTTCACAATCACGTGCAACTAGTCGAAGCTAAATTCGTGCCTTTTGTCATGAGATTGAAGAAAAAATCAATGCCTGCAAGGTTTTGTCATGTGAATAATCACGCTATAGCAGCATTAACAATTAAAAAGCGTCATTTTCTTTAAAATATTAATAAATTATATATTCATATCTTGAATGGTGGGCGCGAGAGACTTTTTTTTTCTTCTAAGAACCCTTGCTCCACTTTCATTATGCATTCCTGCGTCTCTCACCCCTTCGTGAAACTCAGGCAAATCGATCATGTTGCACAGCTCCTTGGCCATACTTCATCGTCATTTGTAATTGCAATTCTGCCCGTATCGCTAATCAGTTACACGCATTTTGGATTGAGTGACGCTGAGCTCTTATCGCTTGTTCTGACATTGGATGGCTTCCGATCATTAAGATTGTATTAATTTATGCTGAATTTTGTTCATTGATTTCGATATAGGCGCCAGACAAATTGATACAATTCGTTTTGTTTAGACTTGTGCTATCACAATGATCTTCCTCTTGACATATGCAACATTATGAAAAATCATCAAATTCTTGCTCAAACGTGTAGCAAAGATGTCAGCAGAATCTCACTATCAGTCACTGCAGTAAATATTCGCCAAATATTCGGCACATTTCCTTCAGTGAAGCCCAAAGGTTGGGGTGTGTTTGCTTGTGTGTTACAGTTTTTACCCTTAGAAAAATCTTCGTCATTGAACTCTCCAACATTTCTCTATAATTCCATTATAATAGCAATAAAAGAAGGAAAAATGGTGCACGAGAATTGTTAAAGTGCTCTCCCCACCGGTATTTGCATAGAAAATCATAGGCCTGAACTTGTAGTTTAAAAAAGTGAACATTTCAACGCTATAAACATTGAAATTGGCTTCGAGGGTGAGTCTCCACAACACCCCACACTCAACAATCCTCCGCCACATGTGAGGCAAGTTGGGAGAAAGGTAAAATGTGTGCAAATGAAATGACTAGAAGAGGAGGCAAGCTCATGCTGTAAATTCTCTTTGGGTGACCAACACGAGAGGAGAGTTTGAGTTGTGAAAGAGCTTCAATAGATTTCATTTGGTGATAACGAGTTGACAACGGTTTGCATGACAAAGAAAACACATGCAAACTTTCTTAGTCTGTGGCCTCTGAACTGCCCCTCCTTGAGTCTCGATGCCTTTTCTTTGTGCACATCACGAAACATCCCTAGAAAACAGCGTAATAACTTAGAAAGACATATCGAAGGACATTATCCTTCTGAACTACGATTAATCACTTGGAGATTGAAATTAACGCTTCAGTTGAGATGTTTTCTTCTCTCTGATTAGAGCTAGAATTATAAAATTCACTTCTTGCTTGTGCGTCCATCGCCATCTTAGCGTTAATGCGAGCCTCCAAGTCAAAAAAATATTAAGTAAAAAAAGCAAAAATTGTAGAAATAAATAAATTATTACATTTTGACGTATGAATTGAAGAGTCAAAATCATTTTAGAGTTCTTTATAATAATTATTTTTGAATTTTTTCAGTTGATTTTATTGGGATTTATAGGAATTTTTGACTGTTTGAATATTTTAAAAATCATAAATGATAAAAACGAGTTCAGTTTCATTTGCATGACTTTGATAATCATTCATTGATGTTCATGTGAAAATTCTCAATGTAATAATTCTTCTGAAGATCACAAGTTTCTCAAGCCACTGTTAAATGCGTTACATTTGTTTATGGTTAATTAGGAAAGATGTTGCGATGTTCCATAATAATAGTCATAACGTCATCTGGCTTGAGTAAATTCTTGGGAACGTGCTTGAGAATCCTTGTTAAAATTAATTTGATTCCTCAGCACGAGAAGAAAGAGTAAAAAATGACTTTAATTAAGTGACTGGCCACTTGCCAAGTCGGTATTTCATGCCTTTTTTGCTCAAATCTGTGCGCCCCAGGGATAAAATTATTGACGACTTTAGGCAATCTTCCTCCATTTTAATTAAACCATTATCATTTTAATTATCGAGCCTGAGCTGAGATTTACACTTTGGTGTATAATTTTCTTCGGAGAAGTTGTTTGCTGCATCTGTCACTCAATTAGTTAATTTCTCTGCTCCAAATACACTTCGTCGCCCCCGCTCAGGCACTTACTTTATGGTGACATTCTTGGCGCTCAAGCCAAGACTCTAACTCGTACGGCATATTTTTACCACTTGCTCGATGGCGGAGAGACTTTTCCACCAATGTTCGCGGGTGAGAAATTTTAATTATCACATTTGATTGGAAATTTTCGTATTTTAATTTCACTGGAAATGATAAAGTTTATGGATTTGAGCAGCACGGCACTCGCTTCGCGGGTCATGACAGCGCTGGATAATGAATTTTCGGGAAAATGTCTTCAACTTTGCAGCAAATTGCAGGCCCCCCGAAGTCAAACACATCCACATGGTGTCTCGGGGGTATTTTGCAATATGAGGAATTAAGGCCGTTATCAGGTGGAGTGTTTGAAGTGAAAACCTCTCGATAACTATCAGAGATCTTTGGCATTACCACGCCTCACGTAGTCAGATAGTCTTGCAATAGAATGTGTATTTTTGATGGTGATTACACGAAAATTCCACTCATCACTCTCTCTGTTTTTGCCCACGATTTGGACACGTTTCTGGCGATCAATTCCCACTTTTCCACATGATTGATGAGTCGGTGGGATCAGTGGTGGAATTGAAACTCCAATTTCACATGTAATTGTGGCAATTTCGTCAAGTAGAGCCCAAACATCGCGATCCTCGGTGGACTGGCGAAAGGGGGTGTCGTTTTTTATTGTATCTGTAACTAATGTCTCCGATGGAATGGCCTGAAGGCAGCAAAAGAAATCACATCGCATGATTTCTGTTCTTCTCCACCACTTCTTTCAGTCTATTTATGGCATATATTATCTACATATTTCGTGTCTTGTACAAATAATTAATTTATTCACTTATATTTTCTCTTTTATAAAAATATTACCCAAGTGTGTACGATGATGAATATCTTATACAATTGACCCCTCTTGCTCGCATAACGCAAATGAAGTACATGAAGTAATCAAGTTGTATGTGAAAGTGGACAAGGGGTGAGTTGCGCCCCCTCCTTGAAAAATTCACAGGGAGTAGGAGACTTTTTATATTCTCATGTTCGCCTTTTTTCTGCCCACCTCCAAACCATTAATACTGTGGGAGGGAAAAGTATAAAATAGTGAGAAGAAACTTTGCCTGCTTGTAATCTTGATTACCGATCTCTTGGGCTCCGCGTGTCATTATAAAGTTAATTGGGACATCGAAACGGTTTTCTTATATATGTGAAAATTATTGCTATATCATGAGTTGTGACGTGGGCGAAGAACGGGGTGTAGAAATGAGCTTTTCAGATGCAAGAACAGCAAACCTAAAACTCTGGCGAACATATTTCACAAATGACCTGAAATTTGTGGAAATTCTCACGATTTCAGGCCAATAATTTTGTGATCATTTTTTGATTATGGCAAAATAATATTTAAATATTTGATTATTGCATGAATTTTTTTGTTTTTTTCCGAACATTTCAATCAAAATTTGAATTGAATTAAATAATTTGTTTTTTTTAATACTTTGTTGAAAATTTTTAATATTTGATTATCTTACATTTTTACTTGGAAAATCACCTTTTTTAAAACTTTTATTCAAATTTTGATTATTTAATTTTTTTTTAATACAGAGTAAAAATCAATAATTTTAATATTCAATTGAAACCAAAAAGGTTCTTCAAAAAAAATCGGCTGGTTACTTTCCCCTTGTTTAGAATATTTCAGTTGCTAATTTTTGAAGTCAATTTTCATTAGCGGATCAGTCAATTTACATTGACTTGTTACAAAAGTGAAGAATCTTCGAAAGCGAGCCAAGAGCGAAAATTTCGGAATGAGCAATTTCTACGGTTTTGGCACACACGCCACTCAATCGCAAGACTCATCCAGTGATTTAGACGAAAAGTCATGGAGGGCAGAGGCGAGTTGAGCGTCTTGCAGTCAGTTTGTTGAGGAACTTGTCAAGAACAATTCCCCAAAACAGATAGAAATAAGCTAGAGGCCGCGGTGAGTGCATTTAATACAATTTCATGCAGCTTTTTGGCATGTCAGACAGGAAATTGCGCTGCCATCGAGATAATCGAAAATTACACTTTTCTTCCATCCCATGCAGAAAAGACCAGTCAAAC